ATTGATAAAGTGCCAATTATTGTCGTAGATGACGTACCAAAAGCGGATGAATTCTTAAAAAACTTAAACAAGCAAACCGGAAAAGAGATAACTGGCACCTTAAAAGGACGCCGCCTTGAAATACAGCCTGCAGACTCTGACTCACATCGATTCATTCGCAAAATAGTCGAAGAAACTAAGCTTAAAGCCCACACCTACTTATTGCCCGAAGATAAAGTTTTAAAAGTCATAATAAGAGGCTTACCCATCACCACAGATCCCCAAACCATCACTCAAGAACTTCTTGACAAAGGATTTAAGGTTAACTTTATTAAGAAACAGAAAAGAAAACAAACCAATGCCGCTTTTCTTAGTACATATACCAAATCAGAAGAAAATAAGGAAGTATTCAAAATCAAACGCATAGGTTATATGAACGTAACAATAGAATCATTACGCAAGAACCTGGCCCTCCACAATGCTATAGATGCCAGGGATTTTTTTCACAGTTCCCTGCTCTGCACCAGAGACTGGGTTTGCGTCCGTTGCGGAGGCAATCACAAACCTATAGAAATGCACCCGTAGTCGCGACCAGCCAGCCATATGTTATCACTGCAAAGGTCCTCACCCAGCCAGACCAAAAAACAAACAAGTTCAGTTCCAACCCAGTCCTCCACCAGCGACCAATCCCTGGATTAACAGAAGACAAGACTTTCCTCCGCTGACATCAAACAGTAACGAAAATATCGCTCAAACCTCCATTCAAAACGAAATTCTAACAGAAGAAACTACCAGCACCGCAGAATCCTCCCTGTCAGACCTCTTTGACTTCTCTTCGCTAAAAACAATCTGGACAATAGTGATACAAGGACTCAAAATTAAAACCAAGAAATCACCTCTTGATAAAATAATCGCAGTAGTCGAAATCATTGAAAAAATAGGAAATCATCTTTAATGCTAATAAATTCAAGAACAGATGCAACATAAAAATCCTCTCTTGGAACGCTAACGGTCTTTACCATAAAAAAGATGAATTATCCAACCTCATTATTGAAATTGAACCTGACGTAATACTCATACAAGAGACTCACCTTAAACCAGCACTCAAAGTACTTTATGCTAATTATAACACCTACCGTACGGATCGTGAGACAGGAAGAGGCGGTGGCATCATCACATTTGTTAAAAGGAGCATAAAACACGCTCAAATTCCTAATTCCCAGCACCACTTTCGAAAGTAACACAATAGAAATTGTAATAGAACATAAAAAATTCAAAATTTCGAATATATACATCCCACCAAATAATAATCCCAGCGCACAAGAATTGATTCACCTCCTTAATTCTAATACTTCTACCATTGTCGGAGGGGACTTCAACGCCAAACACCCCTGTTGGAACCGAGGACCTGCTAACAAAAAAGGAAATGACATATTTAAACTCATTCAATCAAATAATTATAACATTCATGCTCCAGACGAGCCCACCCATTACGGGTACAATAGCGCCACCACAATTGACTTCTTCATCTCAAATAACATTACTAACAGATGCAATATCTCTGTAATTTCAGCCCTGTCTTCCGACCACAACCCCATTGTATTTGAAATCCCCATTAATAAATACCTCCCCTCACTTGACAGAAGTATAGGAGTTACAAATTGGATCAAATACTCTGAAATTCTGAATAACTCCATACAAGGTAACCCATGCATCAACAATACAGAAGATTTAGAACACGAAGTCTCAAAATTTACCAACAGCATCAATTCTGCTTTAAAGGAAGCCACCAATACTTTTTTATGTGAACAAGCCTTTCCTTCCCCTGCCTGCCGATATAAGAAATAGGATTAAAGAGAAAAACCGGATCCGTAAAAGATGGCAAACCACCAGGGATCCACAACTCAAACACGAACTAAACTCTATGCAAAAAGAAATCAACAGAAGAATCAAGAACTTCAAAAACCAAAAATGGACCAATTTCCTAAATAACCTAGCTATAGAGGACAATTCCCTATTTGACATTTCCCAAATTCAAGAAACCTTATAAACCTATTCCACCTATCCATGGACCTAGTGGAACTTCATATACAGAAGAAGATAAAGCTAAATCTTTTGCGGACTATATGGAAGATACATTCACTCTTAATCCCACTCCGTAACGACAATAACCATATTGAACGGGTCAACCAGGTGGTCAATAACTTCCTTAATTACCCCTGCTCCGTAACAACTTCACTTTCCTGACTACCCCAACAATCGTTGCCAAACACATCAGCGCCTTACAAACGAAGAAAGCCCCAGGGCACGATGGCATCTCGACCAAAGCACTGAAGCATCTTCCGATCAACGCTCTTACCTGCCTAACTAAGATAATCAACAACATTATCAAATTCGCTCATTTTCCTAACTCATGGAAGCAAGCTATAATAATTGTTTTTGCTAAACCGCAACAAAATCCAACTCTCCCACAGAACTATCGCCCTATCAGTTTACTTAGCCACCTGTCTAAAGTTACTGAGAAAATCCTACTTTTCCACATCCAAAAAATTCACCCTTCCATGAATTTTCTCCCAGAAGAACAATTCGGTTTTCGTAATCATCATAGCACTTGCCACCAACTTCTTAGAGTTATCAACATTATCACTGAAGGCTACAACTGCAAGCTTCCGACCGGTGCTATATTTCTCGATATCGCGAAAGCTTTTGACAGGGTATGGCATCGAGGCCTTATTTACAAACTAATCACTCTCAATTTTCCAGATCATTTTATTCGCTTAATAGCCTCTTTTCTCAGCAACAGAACATTCAGAATCAAAATCGGTACTGCTTACTCTACCACCAGAGTAATCAATGCTGGTGTCCCACAGGGGTCGGCACTTTCGCCGTACCTTTTTAATATTTATACACAAGACATCCCTAAAGACCCTTCTGTTCATCTTGCACTCTTTGCCGATGACAACGCCATACTTACTAAAGCCTGCACAGCTATCGCCGTAAGAAACCAACTCCAAAGCTATCTCATAAAACTGGAAAAATGGCTTACCCTTTGGAGGATTAAAATTAACACTGATAAAACTAAGGCAATAATTTTCCGTAAAGGAAACATGAAATACTATCCTTCCACCCCCTGAAATATTTGACGAAGAAATAGACTGGATTAATGAAACCAAATACCTTGGAGTCACCCTTGACCAAAAAACTTACCTTCAGAACCCATTTCCGGTCCGTAGTACAAAAATTTAAAATCACCACAGCTACTATGCGACCTCTTCTTGGTAGAAAAGCAACTTATCTACTACAAACAAATTAATTCTATATCGCTCCATACTGCGCCCAGCTCTTCTTTATGCAGCACCGATTTGGGGACATGCAGCTAAAACCAATATTAAACAATTACAAATTCTACAAAAATAAAATTCTACGAGAAATTATCAATGCTCCTTGGTATATTCCCAACATCTATATTCACAGAGACCTTCGAATCGAACTTATTCAAGAGTATATTAAACGATTAGCGGTCAACTTCTTTTATTCAGTACAAACCCACAGTAATAGCCTTGTTAGCACTCTCAGAAGACACTCCCTGCGTCCCAGAGAAAAATATCGTTTCCCTTGTGACATCCTTCCCACATAAGAATCCCAACCTTAATTGACTCATCCACGCAAAACTGACTCTGCGGTTTTAACACCCACGACACTGAACTTGACACCCCCCTTTTTTCGCCGCCGCTAGTGCGGACCTCACTCTCTTTCATTCGCCTCCCACACTCCTTTCACCCTCTCTTTCTCCCCCCCGATCTTTATCAAAAGTCGAGTAAAAAGATGTTTCCACATCTTGACACTCGAGAATAAAATACGATCTGTGTGTGTTTTTTTTAACATACAGTCACCCATAAATTTTAACATGCATTTACCATAATTTCATATTACGTATCTGTACTGTATTACGTACCCTTGTTTCGCTAATTCTGTAATGCTTTCTTCTAAACAGGCTTTTTTGTCACCTAGCTTTTTTTTCTTTGAAGGGGGCATATGTAAGATGAAAAAATATGTGAATCAAAATTATAATTTAAACTAATGCTAAAACTTTAATTCTCCCTCTCTGTTCTAAAAATCGTAATAACTTCTCTGATTTGCGTCATTTCTAGATCATTCCATTTGCATGGCCTGCGCAGAGCTCATGACGTAATATTCAGAACAGAAACATTTAACTCAAACCAAAACCTTTCCCTTCGTGTACTTTCATAAAGGATAACTACGCATTTTAGCTTTTCCCTCTGGGCCAGTTAGAAGCTGTTTCATTCTGCTCTATTCATATCGCAACAATATCAAAAATTTAATTTTTTTTAATAGGCAGGACTAGAGTGCCAAGTGATTATGGCTACAAATGTGTCAACTGGAAATAAAATCGAATTAAAACTTCCAAGTTTCTTAGATATTACGAAGTCAACATTATTAGCATACTACGCAATCAGAATTCTTCCTCTTCAATATTGATCTACGATCTATTATATATTGCTATTACGCATCGACGCTGCTCCATCTTTTTGATGCTATTGTTACATATGCATATATCTATATATAGAGAGAGAAAATTAAGAGATAATAATTAAATCAAAATTAGATTATGAAATGGAGCAATTTTCTAACAGGAAATACTCATATAAAATTAAAACAAGAACAAATCAGTAAAATTGATGTAAAATGTATAAAATTGTGGAAACTTTCTTGGTCTTTTTCAAGGAGCAGACCAAGAATTTTCAACAGAGACCACGTTTCTGAATAAGTATGTTTTACTAATGATAAGAACGTGGTCGTTGTTTGTTATTTGGGTTTTATTTTCTGACTGGGGGTCCATCTTCTGTTCTATCTTTTTTTAGTTTTATTTCAAGATAATATCAAAATATGGGAAAACTCAATTTTTCTCTTCGAACCTGTTTGATTTCGTTATCAAGATGAAAAATTTGAGGGAAAATAGGAAAATAATTTCATTTCAATAGTTGCCATCAGATGGCGCTTCGAAATTTATCGGTATTTTCGTCGCGAAATTCAATAAATATGCTATCAGTGATGTAACATAAACTCTTGAAGTCAAAGTGATAGGAAACGAATTTTTTTAAAGTATGCTATTAAGCGTTAATAGAAATTTCAAACTGAAATTTTTTAAAAGCAATTTTATCAGTCCGTTGCTATGACAACGACGGCCGTAATTCAAATGTTGTAGAAGACGTACGTGAGTTGTTAATGTAAATGCATAGTATTTCACCATTGCTGTAGAGGCAGATTTAATTTTTCTTTAATTTGTCGTTTGTCTTTGTTCCAATTTGTATAGACTAAATATGATAAACATATAATTTTTGTTATTTGCAAAGCTCTTATTCAGAATGTTAAACTTTCTGTCATAGAATATTGTTGCAGTTTTTAATTCTGTACATGAAAGGCAGTTTTTGATAATTTATTTCAACACATAGAAAATAATATTTTATTAGTATTATTTTAATTTTTTCCCCAATTTAAACTGAAATGCCGAAAGCAGACAATATTTTGATATGTTGCATTTGTTGTTATAATATGCTGCAAAGTCTATTGAATCATTTTACCGTCTGAAAAGTAGTAAGTTTTTAATTCTGCATAGTGATATATTTTGTGAAACAAGATGTGTATAATGATTGAGAAATGTATATATTTAAAGAAACGTTATTCCCATATTCTTTTTTAAGTGTTTACACTTATGTTTAGCTCATTGGTTCTGAAACAGTGCATATCAACTGTGAACTCATTGGCAACTTTATAAATTGACAAAAGACATTTGTTAGATTATCTTTATAGCTCAGTACTATTCTGTTCGTAAATAATAAGAACACAAAGCATTTTATAAGAAATTCCTTGATATCATTATAATTCCTTAGACCATGGTTTCTTAAACTGTGGGTTGCGATCCCCCATTGGGGGTCGTGGTACCTGCAGCAGGGGGTTAATCTTTGGATTATGTTAACTTGGCGATTTTTTGGCGACCAACTCTGCTACGGCAACCTGCTAGTTTTTGTTTGGACGCCATTTTGTTTTCACGAAGTAAAGGCATTTTTTTTTTAACTCAACATTTTTTTCTAACAATCTGTTAGCCGAATTACGCTTATGCTAGAACTTTTATGGAACAAAAGTGCTTAATCATGATGAAGATTAGGTGCGAAATTGGGAGAAAGTGCAGAATCTCAAACTGCTTGCCGCGTTTTTAAGAATTGCACATACACAGTATCCATGTACATGTCGACCTATTTTCACTTAAAAAAACATCCCAGAATTGCACAATAATGGCATTGCGCACACTCTTGACTTTATCCATGTATACTGCTAAAGTCCTAGCTAGTAACCTTTATGGCTTTACGAAAATGTCGCCAAACTACCTGTTACCATATTCCAAAGATTAGCAAAATCATTTACTTTGATTGCCGCAAAAGAAATTGTTGAAATGCAATACTGTGCCGAAAGTAAATTTATCGTATGCAGTAAACGAAATAACACCAAGAAATCGGTGACATTTGAAAAGGAAACTAATGCAGAGTGCTTTTGAAAGACTACACGAATTAAGCCCAAAGAAAATTTATTTTGAGGCCAAGAATGAAATTGAAGCTGACAATAATAAATGAAATGTGAATGATTTTGAAATAAAACTCACAAGTGACAATGCGCTAAGTGACAATAACCCTGAATGACCTAAGTGTAAAGATAAACAAGAATGTATTGATAATTTGAAGAGCAAAATAATATCCTTAGAAAATTGTAATAAAATATTGAAAAATTTGAGAATGTTTGCTCAGCGACAAAGAAGGTGAACGACATCTAGAAAGAAATTTGTATCGGAAATTCAGAAATTAAAATCCCAAATAGCGAAATTTAGGAAAAAACAGCACAGATCAGAGAATCTCGAAAAACATCCAAAGCATATTTTTACAAAGATGCAGATTAGCGCATTGCTAGAAAAGAAGGAAAAAATCAGATATACTAGTGAAGATATTTCACGTTGCATTGTCATAAGAGTTCTGTAGAACAAGTTTCTTAAATAGAAATGCATATGTTTTTTCCTCCAAAAAAAGCAACCCAAAAGGCAAAAAAATAGATTGCTTCGAATGTGGTAGACAATAAATAATATTTCAACAACTTGTAGTTGCATTGTGACTATACAAGTAAGCATATATAATATGTTTTGATTTGAAATATTTCTAGATGACATTTTAGAAGTTACTAGCATAAAGCATATTTCAAATGAGAACTAATTTTGTTAAGTTATTGTTAAAGTTATTTTTATTGTATTCTGTGTTATTATTGATTCGGTTTTGTGCTAGGTTAGTATTCTAGATAAAATATAATAGTATAACATTAAAGTAATTGGCATAAGAAAACGTGTCTCCTTAATCTCAACTTTTGAAAAATTAAATAATTTTTTTTTTTTTTAGGTACTGTGAGTAAAGTTGTTTCGTATAAATTAAGATAATAATCTTAATGCATTTATTTAAATGTAATATTGATGTAAGCCTAAGTTACAAAATTATTAAGAAAATATGTTATTATATTGAATCGGGAGAAAAATATGCCAATGTAAAATTTACAATTAGGCTGACACTCAAACTTAGATTAGCAGAAATTTTGAAAACTATGCCAATTTAAGGTTGTTTTTTGATTAATTTTAAATAGCTGTTATTATAGTTATCTTAGAAGCAGTAGTACAGTTTTCTGAGTTAACATGTAGATAAAGAAATGATATGAAATAAACAGGCATTTAAAGAAAGAAAAAAATCGCTGCAAATTAAAAAAAAAAAAGGAACTTTATGCTAAGAGTAGCACATTTTATCTGTTATTTTAAAATTGAGTAAGTACTATTAAATTTTTTAATGTCCAGTGTAAAATGCATACTGCAGCAACATTGGCTCTTTTAAATTATAGCTATCTTTCACACACAGCTCATTTTAAGTGCTGGTTCTTCAGATTTAAAAAGCTAATTTCTTATGTTGTCATTTGCATCTCCGCGCTCAGTGCCATCGTGGCTACGTCATCACACCCCACTGCCTGTTTCAAGGGAAAAAGCTTTATGAGCTAGCCCTTCTCTTTTAAGTCCTGATGCAAGTTGCATTTTTGTGATGTTTATGTATGTGTGAACCCTGTTAAGGATGAGAGGAATATGACCCAAACCACCTGGTCTAAAAATAGACCATATGATACAGGGTAAAAGATATAGTTGTTTTGATCAGTGGAAATCGTGTTCATATCCCTTGTCACCAGTTAAAATCCTACAGTCGGCAATGAATGAGTGCTACCAGGTGACATCATCTGTTTAAGATGATATATTCCTAATTTAAAATGAAAGCTTCATCAGTATGAGTAGAACCTGAAAATCATCGTTTTCTGTCCTGGTGCTTAAACCATCTAACTAAAAGTGCATCTGAGATATAACGTTGAATCAGTTATCCACTATTTTCTGTTTCACTTGATGCTATGTATATTAATAGCCGAAATATGTACAAACTTGATATTCAGTCTATTAGAGGCATCTTAAAATATAGTAACAAAATTACTGTATTTGTACTAATTAATTGATTTAATACTATTTTCAGGACACCATTTAATTTATTTCATACACTTCTTGGCAATTTTTGGCAGTACGTGGATACTGAGTTTGTGCAATCCAAAAATTGCTGCTACACAAAGCTAAAACAACAAGTCAGAGAATTGCACAAACTCAGTATCCACGTACACATCGACCTATTTTCACTTTAAAAAAATCATAGAATTGCACAAACTTGGCATTGCACACTCCCTTGACTTTGTCCATGTACACATCGATCTATTTTCACTTAAAAAGTCAAAGAAGCAGCCCAACAGAAAATATATAATCTCAGTAAATCACATTTTAAATCAAGCAATCAAATAACATAACAAAGGAAAATTCATCTTAGTACTACACAAAGTAAATGTCCACTTACCTTATTTAGAAATTTTCCTGTCTTCAGTCAAACAAAATTCTTTAACAGCATCCCAAAACATCCTAAAATTATCTGAACTGAAATCTGTATACTGGTGTCGACACATAAATTCACAAAGATAACAGTCAAATGTATCCTTCATAGTGCTGATAACCTCTGACGTTCGACCATATGCATTTCCTTCCTACGAATAGGACACTTATAATGGCTAATGGTATAAATCTTCATTTGCACATTAATCAATTAATGTTCGTTTTCTCTTTCATTCCAAATTGTACAGAAAACTTCAAATTAACCGTACCATATTCAGCCATTTTACCATCTAAACCACAAAACAACTTTCTAACCAGCACACACCACAAGAAATTCTTTGTCACAAATCTTTTCCCATCATTCAAATACACCACAATCACGCAACCAGTTATGTCATAATAGGGTGTCCGTAACATTCAGCTACTTAAGTTACCATAAATGAAGCAACGACTTAATAGAAGGGGCACCCTGAAATCTACTCTAACCAAGGCATCTTTTATGCTATTAAATAAAGATGTAGGCATTTTGTTTATTTAATATAAATATGGGCAGTATAAATATGATTAAGGCATTTGAAATTCAGATTTCTAGAGGTTTTTCTAAGTACAAAATGTATGATAACCCTGATAATATAGTTGTTTCTTTTATAGTATTGTCAGTTTTACATAGCTGCCTACTATTCCAGTTTTTTTATTCATCTCCCAGTAGACAATCAATCTTTCGGTTTTTAAATTTCAGCCTTTACTAAAGAAAGTATGGTACTGTTCTGTTATCAGGAGCAGATAAAAAAATGTATGTATGAATGGATATATTCATGTATGCATGTATAAATGCAAGTACGAATATATGTATGTGCGTACATACACACATGCATACATTCGTACATTTCTGAATCTGGTTCCGATAACAAAACAGTACTGAAAGTATTTTTCAACAATAAAAAAAATTAAATAGTGCAAATAAAATTTGCACAGGTTGAGTTTTGTTATAGAATTAACAAAGCTTGAAATTGTGCAAATTTCATCCCTCCATCCATAGTGATCTTCAGCAAAAGTTTTCTTATTAAATTTTCTGTGGTCAGAATTATCTTAATCTGCTGTACACTTGCACAGAACTTTATATGAAGACTCAACCAAATGTTGAATTTAGTAAATATTTGTATTTAGTCTTGCTTTAATCAATATGTAGAGTGATTAGATCCTTTTCAGAACAGGAAAAATGAAAAATTGGCTGTGCCTTCACTGGGATTCAAACTCTGGAGCTTTCAACTGCTAGCCGGACATGTTCCTAATTACACCACAAAAGCACAGGGGCTTCGGACCTAGTTGCATGATCCTGATGGGGACAACTTATTGTCCACCATATTTTAGTTTGTGCCATCGTAGATTAACTTCTTGATTTTCTAGAGGTTGGAGATATGAAAAATGTGCAGTGCCTTTGCCAGGATTCGAACTCCAGATCTCTGGATTGCTAGTGGAATGTGCTTCCAATTACATCATGAAGTTACATGGTAAAGACAAAGAAAGTATCTTATAAATATATGGTACATTTCTAAATTTATCCACACAATACTGGGCACAATACTACACATGAATTATTAATTTTACTTTTTACCACGTTTAAAAATATTTTGAGAAATTTAAGCTTTCTTTACCTACTCAGAAATTTTTTTTTTTTTTTTCATAAGTCTAAGAAAATTGCAAAATGAAATTAAACGAAGAGTATAAAAATTAGAATATGTAATTAATATGTTTTGCACCAAGGTATTGCATTGTAAAGCAAATTTAAATCAATTTTGAGTACTTCAAAAATGTTGCCACCGTGCAGCAAGAAAAATCTCTCAGAAACTCCCAGTTTTCAGTTGATTAACTTTCTGCTTTTTCATATTTCAAAGCTGGCTGCTATGGTATTCATGTGGAACAATTAAAAGATAAAATGCATTGGCTTCCTACATAAAAAAATTTTCTTTCTTCTCTTGATTAAATTTTGCTTGATTAAATATGTATGTAAATTATAAAATGTTAAAAATTGAATATGAATTTTTGAATATATATTAAATTTATCAGAATAACTGTATGCATACTTTTAGTTTTGCGATAATTCTCCTATATTTTAAACAGAAAATATTGAAACATTGATGTATTTATTATTGCTTACTTGTGTATTTTCCTGGTTTTGTTTCTGCATCTTTTATTTTGTGCTTATTATAATAGGTTGCTTGCTAGAAATATAAATATATCCTTTACAACTCCTCATATTGTAAATATTGAAATATGGACGAGTTTGATGATATTGGAGCTTTTTTGAAGGTATTTAAATATAATAATGTCTAGTAAAGCTTGTGACGATTTAATCATAAATGGACTTACTATGTCCATATAATCCATCCTTATGAATTATTTACTTTCTAACTGTTTATTTAACTGCATTATTTCATTTACCTAAAACTATAACTGTAAGCAAATTATATGTATGTATCTGTATCATAGATACATATGTATAATAGTCTTGCTTATGTTCAGAGCACGCTTCTTGTAATTTATTTTCATTTGATAAAGTTATCAATATGAAGACAAATAATTTATTAAGTGAAATACACTCATATACAAAATTAAGAGAATTTGCACACTGTCGAATTTCTGAAAAACTAGCATACAGTTTAATGAAATTTGATATTAATATATATATATACTAGAGAAAAAGATGTACCATTCAAAAGCCATTTTATAAATGCATGACTATCAGTAAAACTCATGGTGCAGGGGTGTCCAAAATTCACATTGTTATACAGTACAAAGTCCAAGATCCAAACTCGTTGGGACTTCAGTGATTCCGGATTTGGGATTTTTCCGGATATTAGATCATCAGTTTAATGTTTGTAAGATGGCATGTAGAAATTATAAAAACCAAATATATGAAATCATAATTTATGAAATAATGAAGCATTTATAATCTAAAGGGTAACAAAATTTACAAAAAAAGAAAAAAATAAATATTTGTTTATTTTATTAAACATTTCTTTCAGTGTAATTTGTTTAAGTTGGTTTTTTGTTCTAATATTTTCTCTTTAATTCTGTAGACAGATATAATTTTGTATTCAGTTATAAAGTTCCATGTTCAAGTCCTGTAATTGCTGTGTCGAGAATTCCCACTAACTTGTCAATTGAAATTTTTTCGTTTTCAATAACCTCTCTGTCACTTTTCACTATCAGTAGTGGTATTTTCTGAATCTAGAAACCATATTACAGATTTTGCATCTGTTGATTGATAATTGGGGCAATGTCATTGAAATGAAAAACTTCTGTTATATTATCTTCATTTATTACCACTTCTCCACATTTCTTTAAAAATTCCATTAATTGAAAAATTTAACCTTTGGTTTGCAATACAAAAATTCTACTTTATAATCTGCATTTCAGCGTGCGCACTATTCTGATACCCATAGACTGAATGATGGATGTACAATTTGGAGAAAAGAATAATACGGATATATTATCTTTTAATAAAACTTTAAGTGAAATATGAGCCGAACAGTTGTCTACAATCAGGACAATTTTTGCGTCATCAGGTAAACCAACCGAATTCTGCTGAGCCTTGAGTATGAAATGATTTTCAAGCCAATCATTCATTACACTTGTGTCATCCATGTTCTTTTATTTGCACAGTATATAATGGAAAACTTTTTACTCATTTAAATGCTTGAAGTCATGCATTTTTTTCCGATTACGAAAAGCTTACAATTGTGCGTTCCTGCCGCATTTACACATACTAAAATTGCTAGTCTCGCTTTGGAATCTTTGACACGAGTTGGAGCCTTTTCTGTGGAGGTTGCCAAGGTATTTTGTGGTACATAAAAGACCAGTTTCACATCTGCAAATAGTTTATCTGAAATTCTTAATTGCCTTATACCACAGCAATTTTTAAATTTGGTTAACCAACCTGCATATGCACTCAGTTTTTTAAGTTTATTTCTTATTGAAATATTTTAGCTTGCACCATTAGTATTTGATCCGTCAATGGCACAGCCTCGCTGTGATGCTTTCTGACCCATTCAATTACCACTTTGTCATGATCTTCACTTTTAGCATAACAAATAATTTTCTGTTATTAGTTGCGAACGGGGTGTCAGAATCCACAAGAAATTCAGAAAGTTCTTTTTTCTGTTATCTTATGTCATATGCAGTTAACTTTCCAATGCCATACTTCTTGCACAATTTTGAGACAGATATACCTTCATCCATTTTTTGAAGCAATTCCATATTTTGTGTAATGAACATCAAAACATGCTTTCGGTTTGTACATCCTGTTACAGTTGCAGAATTAGAGAAACTCTTTTGAACATGATCGAAAGCTGAAACTTTAATTTTCATCAAATTGCTGTAATAAAAACAGCTTGCAAAAAAATAATTAAGCTGGATCAAATTAGAAAGTTAAGGAACACCACAATCTGCCATATTGGCTGAAATTCCTTGGAATCAGTAAAGTATATTTTTAGCCTAGCTTAATAGAATCCGCTATACATTATTGGCTATGCGTCATGAGATTAGGGACGAAAGTCAAGTTGTTCCACTAAATTTTGTCTTGCTTTTACTGTGCATTGAGACAATTAAGCCTGATTGTATTAGTTAAGTTATTTGTTATACTTGTGTCTATTTCTTGCACATGCTTATCTTAATCGTGAATAAATAAATTCTCTCATATACTTAAGGCTTTTTGAGGGCTGGTGTTAGATATCTTACCACCTGATGCTGTCTCTGCGGGCACTAAATTCTGCTAACAAATGCCTAAGTTCTAAATTTTTGCGGTCCCTAAATTTTGGATCACAATGCCTTCTTTAAATTCTAAAAATATTTTCATCCTTTAATTTTGTTGTTCGGTGCTTCTCTAAATTCCAAAAATCTTGGTTTCGGTAAATTCTGCTGCCCGGTGCGGCCATACGAGCTCTGGCGCGGTTTTGGGTTTACAGGAAAAACAAATTAGTTATTCTTTAGCACTAAATGTAATCTTTTGGCCTATGAATATCATCAAAAAAATCTATTTTTAGCATATGGAAAGAAATTTTTGTTAAATTTTTCCTTGTTAATATTTCTTAGCACATTAACTTAAATCTGTAATCATTGCCAAGCATAAGAATTTCAACATGAAAGGTTACCATACTCTTTGTATTAATACATAAAAAAAAAATTGTTTGGGCATCACTGCATGAGTCATTGCTCAAGTTGTCATTTGTTGATAAACATGCAGAGGTGAAAGCAAAATGTAATAACTAACGATTTGCCAAGTTGGCATCAGGGATATATAGTAGGAGTAAAATCAACAATGCTTCTATATAGAATGTTTTGGTTTGAAATTGCAGCTACGAAGCCAAATTATTGCTCACACAGATTTATGCTAAATTATTGTTTCTTCAATAACGAGGTATTTATTCAGTGCTGAATGGAAATTAAGAATCGGTCTCTCCACATGTTTTATCTACGGGTGAAAAAAATCAAATGCGCATGCGTAAAGCATTTATATATATAAAAAAAATTATTGGCAGTTTTTGGGGTCTGGATTTCGGACTTTGTACTGTATACCAGTGCTCCGCAACCGGTGTGCCATGAGTAGGATATAGGTGTGCCGCAATCAAATACATGTATTTGACATTTTGCAATTTTTTATCATGTATTTAATACACAATGACAATTTTTTTCCTTAATAATGTCTATTTTAAATGTTTTAATATATTTCATTGTTGTGTGGTTGTGTGTGTGATTGTAAGTGTGCCAGCATTTGAATTTTTTCGGCACTTCCTTGATAACTTGGAACTCTTTGGTGTGCCATGAAATTCCAGAAAGATTTTTTGTGCGTCGCAGGTGAGAAAAGGTTGCGGAGCACTGCTGTATACAACTGCAAATGTGTCTGATATGGGGTATGATCCTCTCTTTCAGCCAGGCAGGTCATGCAGTGTGACAGCGTACTTGAACAAGAGGCAATTGAAGTCTCTGTGGCAGTCGATCCCATTATTGCAGCAAGGTATTTTTCAACTCTGGAATGGTTCTCAGAGAAGGATGGCAAGATGAAATTGCCCTCCCAAGAATTCCCAAGACATCCTGTATAGGGTTAAGGTCAGGAAATCTGGCTGGTCAGTCCATGTTGTGAATATCCTTGCTTTCCAGGTAACCATCAATCGTCTGAACCCTATGCAGACAAGTGTCATCCATTAACAGAAACCCAGAACCAATTGCATCTCTATAAAGTCAAATACAGAGCTGTAAGATCTGATCTGTGTCCATATAGCAGTCAGAGAGCCTTTGTCAAACACATGCAGCCATGTTTGGCCATCCTATATAATGCCTGTTCAAAACATTACACCTCCACCACTGTAGTGATTCTTTTCCTTGATGAGGAACAAATTATATCATTTTCCACGCTTTTTACAGATACAGGTAGGCCGAGAATCAATGTCCAGGCTAAATCTTAAATCATCTGTAAAAGGCACAGTGCTCCAATGAAGTCTGGTCTAAGGGACATGTTGGTCTGCACTATGCTAAATGCACTCTCTTGTGTGCTGCAATGAGCGGCATACAAACAGTGAGTATTCTGGCATGCAATCTTATCTCATGAGCTACTTGAGCAATTAGAGACCATGTAACTTAAATTCCAAAAGCAGCATACAGCTCGCATGAGAACTGTAAAGCTGTAGCAGTTTCGTGTCACCTTGCTGAAAGTGCCAAATAATGATCCTCATTTGTCGTGTTGGATCTTGGTCAACCTTGTCCATCTCTTATTGGTATGGATCCAGTGTTCTGAAACTGATCTGTGTATGTGTGCAGAACCATGTGTGTAATTTTTATCAGTTGTTAATGTTGGTAAGCAATATTTTTTATTTTTCATGTACTATTTCAGCATTTTTACTAAAGTGTATTTGTAATTAATTATTTCAAACCCAACGCATTTTAGTTTGCTAACTGCAATGTCTTTGTAATGGGTTCTCTGGTTTTGCTTATTGAATGTGCGTGTTTAGGTCAACATTATATATTATTTTTTAATAACTGCATTTTGTTTTGGACATTTACTTTTTGTATTATTTGTATTTCTCTTGTATATCAGGGTTCGTACGGTCCTTAAGAGTCCGTAAAAGTCCTGAAATTTCTTGGAATCGATTTTTTGGTCCTTAAAAGTATTTAATTTTGGCCAAAATCAGTAGAAGGTCCTTAATTTTAATCATCTGAAATTTCTGTCTGTTTTTACGACTGCCATTTTGAGTGTGAATTAGCATTTTGGAGGAATATTTTTGGCGATTCACTGACGTATATTTGTTATCTTT